ATCCTCTCCCCTCCGCGCGCGCTCCGCCCCGCCGGCCCGCCCCGACACTTGTCACCCCGCCCCTGCACTCCGCCGCAGCCCACGATGGCGTCATCTCGCCCCGCCCAGCACGGCGCGCGGCCTGCTGGGACTGGGAGTGAGCGAGGCCTCGCGCGCGGCGGGCGCAGGCGCAGTGCGGTGCGGCGGACAACTGGCCGTGGAAGTTGACTCTGTTGTCCGTCCTCCCTGAGCCCTATTCATAAAGGAAGTGGCACGGTGCTTGAGAAGCTGGACTCCCATGTGGCTGAACGGTTCGAGTCCCGGACCTGGTGGCTTCCTTTCTCATTCTCTCTCTCTCTCATTAAAAGTGCCTGTGGGCAGTCCCTGCGGGGCGCCCCGCAGCTCCTTCAGCACCCCCCTCTGCACACAGGGTCAGCCCTCGCCAGTTCCCCACGTGGCCCGTATGGCCAACAGAGAAAGGTCACTTCAGTCTACCCGCCCTCCAGTGGATCTAGACATTTCACCAAAGTGTCAAAAAGCAAATGAGGGAACCAGGAGTTAGCGTAATGGCTATGTCGCTGGACTCCCATGTAGTCAACTGCAGTTCGCGTCCGGGACCCGAACTGCAGTGGACTCACGCCCAGGGGCCAGCAAGTGGCATGGTGGTTAAGGCAGCTGGAATCCCACATGGCTGACCATGGATCGAGTCCTGGACATGGTAGCTTGCTTTCTCACTTTCCTTCTCTTTGTCTCTCTCTGGTCAAATTCAAAATAATATAAAGTAAAATAAAATAAATGAATAAAATTAAAAAAAAAAAAAAACTCACGCCAGGCGTGTGTGCATATGTGCCCAAGATCCTGAGAGGAGAATGGAGGAGAAGGGATTGCGGCATGGCCACCCCCCCGGGGGAGTGATTTCTCGCTTTCTGTCTCTCTGTCTCTGCCTGTCTGGTGAGCGCACACGCCCTATAGCAAAAACTTCTCCAAAAAAAAAAAAGGGAGAGGAGAAAGTGACCGGACATAGTCACACCGTGGTCCTTTCTCCCTTTCAACAGCCTGTCGGGGTTTCAGGAATGCACATGCACACGGGTGTGTTTTCAAGCTTCCAGGACCAGGATTCAAACTGCAGCCACCTATGTGGGATCCGGCTCACTTAACCGCTAGGCTACAGACTTGGCCGAGACTTGCCCAAATTTCAGGGCAGGGGGCTCCGTAGTCCTGCTTGGCTCAGTCAGCAGTTACGTACCCTTCCTGCAAGTGCTTTTTTTTTACTCTGATAGCTTGCACAAAAGTGCCTGCCCTCCCCCAGACAGCTCAGGCCCTGTGAGCCCCACCCCACGCCCACACAGGGTGTCTAGGGCCTTTATGCTTCCAAGGCGCCCAGGGCTGTTGTGCAGGAAGGGCCTGGCTCACCGTGCTGGCCTGTGGGCGGGAAGGCACAGAGTTAATGTCTGGGCAGGTGGGTGTGGCCTTGAGTCCTTGTTGGCCAAGGGAATTGGCCCTGGGCAGGTGCGAGATGGCCGAGGGCAGCCCAAGCACTCAGCCTGGGTCAGCGCTGCTGTGTGGACCGCCATCTGACCAGTTCCCCAGCTCACTGCTGAGACCACAGCTAGGCCTCCCTTCGGGCTCCCTGCACAGTCGCTGGTGTGGACGAGGTCCCTCTGCCAGATGACAGGTGAAGAAGGTAAGGCTTAGCTTCGGTGTGTGCTTGGGGGCCTGGAACGACCTGCCCTTCTGCTGCCCTCGACCCGTGACTGTAGAGGATAATGGGACCTAGAAAACCAGGTCTTGGCCTGGCCTCGGTGGCTTACCCACAACCTCGTGGCTAGCCCAGACCCCGTTGGCAGGAGCCCTGTTTCCCCACCAGTAGTCTCATACCAAGCCCTCAGGGTGTCTGGCAAGATAAGTCAGAAAACAGACCATGACTGCAGAGTGCCCACCATCACTGCCCACACTCTTGAACAGGTGTGCAAGACTGTCCTGGCCACCAGTGGCCGTCCTGGTCAGCCTTCAGCCCAGGAGGACACCCAGGTTTCGAGACTGCCTGCCTCAGGAGAGGCCACCACTCCTCACCCTCAGTGGGCAGCCAAGTGTGGTAGGCCCCTGTCGCTGCCCATGTGGACACTGAAGCCCCAGGTGCAGCCCATGTGGACACTGAGCCCCAGGTGCAGCCCATGTGGACACTGAAGCCCAGGTGCAGCCCATGTGGACACTGAAGCCCAGGTGCAGCCCATGTGGACACTGAAGCCCAGGTGCAGCCCATGTGGACACTGAAGCCCAGGTGCAGCCCATGTGGACACTGAAGCCCAGGTGCAGCCCACGTGGACACTGCACCCCAGGTGGAGCCCAAGAGGGCACCGA